ATTATGATTGCTATTACTACTGATTAATATTAATAACATTTGGTCACTCATTTCTCTGGCCAATGAGTATCGAGTGGGACATCACATGGGTGAAAAATGTACATGCACTGCGAAAATATCATTTTACTGCCAAGCGACTGCCAATCTAACAATTGAGTTTAACATTTTCGCATAATGCCTCCTCCTCCTAGGTGCCTTCTCTGTTGAGGTTGGCGATTAATATGGCGTATGACTCTCTATCCAGAGCTTGGTGAATAAGAGTGTTTCCGTCGGTGTGGGTCCAATCTCTTATGTTACGTAGCCACGATTTCTTTTTCCTCCCTATGCTACGTTTTCCATCGATTTTTCCTTCTATTATAAGCTGTATTTCTTCATATTATGAGTGCCGCATTATATGTCCAAGGTAGGAAGTCTTTTTGATTTTAATTGTGCCTGTTAGGTGTGGAAGAGTTTTCATTCTCTCTAAAACTTCACAATTTGTTGTTCTGGAGGTCCAACTTATCCTCAGCATCTGACGATACATCCACATTTCAAAAGCATTAAGGCGTTTGATGTCTTTTAGTTTTAGCGTCCATGTTTCGCATCCATATTGAAGTAGGGGCCATATATAACATTTTAATATTCTTAGCCTCGTTGGTATACGTATTCTGGGATGGCACAAAAACTTCCGCATGTTGAGGAAACCAGCCCTAGCTATTTCTATTCTTCTTCTGATTTCTTTAGAGTGGTCTAGCTTGCTGTTTAATTCCCTGCTCAAGTAAATATAACTCCGCGTGGTTTCTAGATGGACGCCGTTTACCATTATGTCGGTATTTTCATTGTCTTGCATTGTCTGTCGAAAATCATAGTTTTTGTCTTGGCGGTGTTAATCTCTAGACTCATTCTGATACTTTCTTCTGTCAGTTTGTCCATTAGGGTTTGCAGCTGGTCTTCGGATTCTGCTAATACCACGGTGTCGTCTGCATATCTTATATTGTTTATAATTTTTCCATTTATTTTAGCCCCTTCTGTACAATTTTGAAGAGATTTTCGGATTATATATTCGGCATAAACGTTAAACAATAATGGTGACAATATGCATCCCTGTCTAACACCTCTTTGTATGTCTACGTATCTTGTATTTCCTTTTTCTGTTCTGACACAACCTTTGTGATTCCAGTATGTTCGCATAATGCAGTTCTTGCTTAGTTTTCGTACATGACTATTTTCTCTAAACTTGTGATCAACTTTGCTCAGCGTATTCTGTGATAATGGTTGAAAATCTAAATATTTTTCTCTGCAAATCAACAACTTCATTTTGTGTTCTTTGTCTGTCCCCGTACCCTATGAATATTAGGATATCATATCATATTCGATGGGAAGTCATCTCTTCTAATGTTTCTATTTCACAACATTGAAATTATTAGTATGTAACAGTATGGCAAAATTCGACAAAAGAGTTATTGCTAGGCTTCTAACGTTGCTGGTCCCTTCAGATAAAGAAATAAAGGTGTTTAACTTTCGATATTGACGATTTCAATGTTTTTTACCAAAAATCAACCATATTTACCATCAATTAAAAATATTGTTGACGTATTTGTTACCTTTCACATTTTTTACCAATTTTTTTATATATTTTTATATAATATATATTAAGTTTTATATAAGTTTTTAGGTAATTACGTTTGTATTTATCTACATTAGAAATGTGTTTTTTATGACTTACCGTAATTAAGCTATCTAATTGAACTGGAATTAGTTTATTAAACATATTTCAGTAAAAATAATATTGAAATGCTTTGTTTTCCCATGCTAATGATAATGAAACTAACAAAACAAAAATCAAAGTTATATTTTGAAGTTTTAATGTCGTCGTTTGGTATTTTATATGGGGGCCACAAAAAGTTCTTCAGATTTTTCCGAAAAATATTTAAAAAACTAAATTTTGGATGGGATTTGATCAAAATCCGTTCTTAGTGCGCGTCTATATCCCATAAGAAGGATACTAATTTTTAGCTCAATCTGCCTTGCAGTTTTGGAGATATCGTGATGAGTCAGTAAGTGACAGATCCAGGGGCGTGCGGTGAAATTTTTAGTGCGGGCAGCAATTTTTAGAAACTTACCTATTTGTAATGTAGAGTATGATGAAGTTTTTTCGTATTTTGTACCGGTGCTATACATAGTTTTTTGTATTTTTGGAGTAATTTTGATAAAAATAAAATATAATCTGTGCACTTGCACATAATCTGGATAGCTAATCATATTAGAAAGGGTTATGACAGCAAAGAAACCTCAGACAAAAAAATATACGAAATATACGGAGACAACGTATCCGAAACGGTGGACAAAACAGAAACACAGAGTGAAAAAAAAATCTTATCAAATCAAATCAAATCAAATAGTTTATTGGTGCTAAATATCAAATACATACACAAGTCAATAAGTGTTAACACAAAATAAAAAAAAGTAAAATTATTAAAGATATTGCGAAGTTTAAAAAAAAACACTAAAATATACAAACACAATAATCAAAAGACAATTTAAAATCAAACATTAACAAGCTTTGAAATTGAAATTTTTACATAATGCTGCTAAATCACATTCTAGAAACTCACTAAGAGAACAAAACGCCCGATCAACAAGGAATGACTTCAGAACAGACTTAAATTTTATGATGGGCAAATCTCTAATAGAATGTGGAAGTTTATTAAAAAAATGTATTCCTAGGTACCCAGGGCCAACTTTTTAAATTTAAATCATTTTTGTTACGTGTAGCATAAGTATGGACCGATTAATGTGTTACATACTGATGTATGTTCTCTCTCACATATAGAAGAGTTTCTAAAATATAAAGACAGGGCAGTGTTAAAATATTATTACAAACAAATTCTTGTCGACAGTCTGCATGATATGTAGTGATGGGCAAAACTGTTATTTTTAGATAACAGTTGAAACTGTTATAGTTATTTATAAAAAACAGCTTAAAATAACAGCTTAAAAATAACAGATTTCTTTATTTTACTGCTAAATATCTGAAAGAGTATGAGGCGGTCACCGGTCACCGCGATATTAACACAGTTGCAAAGTTGCAACAATGACGTGCTCATTGGTAGTATTTCCAGGGTGTCAAAACATTTCTAAATATCCATTGTTATCTAAAATACCTCTCTAAAAAATGGTGGTCGTTTACAAATAAGCGCTGTTTACAAATTGCGATATAAAAAAGCCAAAATTCCGCCACTCGTCTATACCTATACATTCCGATCTACCTACACCTGCCTCTCGATCCGGGTAGATCCCTGAATTGCGTAGCAGTGTGCAAGGAGTGCATCTCACTCGACGGGCGAGAAGTTCTTAGTTATGATTTAGCATTTGCGGTCAAAAAATAGCAATATAAGAAAAGTGTAGTATATTCTTCATAAGTAAACTAACTACACACTAGAGTTCGAATTAATTTTACACTTAAACTAGCGTGTACCCGCGACTTCGTTCGCGTCGAATTAATAATTTCTAATGGTGATGATAAAGCAAAACAAGAATTTCCATTAACATACCAACTGGATAAAATTTTCTCACATTTGCCAAAAATAAGCTTTCTAACGTCGAGCAGTTTAAGCAGAATCGTGGTTAATCAATTACTCAACTTTTGGAACACCCTGTATGATTTTTTAAAAAATTTCAAAATATGTAAAAAAAATAAAATAAATTATGCGTGTCCAGGCGTTTTCCCGAAAGATTAACCGTTTTTTAAATAACAAATATTGTAATATTTGAGGGGCGTTTTCACCCTGTTGGAATTTGAGATTCGATTGAGTACCCCTCCTTATTGAACCTAAACCCACAGCCAATCCGTTTGCCAAAAATCAGCTTTAAATATCAAGCAGTTTAAGCAGAATAGTGATTACTCAATGGTCATATTTTATGAAACACCCTGTATATATTTTTAAAAAAATCTTAAAATATGTAAAACAACATAATAAAATATACGTGTTTTAAGAGTTTTTCCGAAAAACTCACCGGTTTTTAAATAAAAAATATTCTAATATTTGAGAGTAGTTTCACCCCCTTAGAATTCGAGTTTCGGAAAATCCCTTCTTATCGAACCTCTACACACTAAAGTCAATCCGTTTTTCCAAAAATCAGCTTTTTAGGTCAAGGGCTTTTAAGCAGGATCGTGATTAATCAATGACCAGATTTTTTCAAAACACCCGTTATACATTTTAGAAAATCTTAAAATATTATTTTGAAAATTTTTCAGAATAAATAAATACCTGAATATTGAAACTTAATAAGTAAGTACTGAAATATACAGCGCTCTAATATCTCGACCTTCGTCCGTTATGCTCGTAACAGGTTGAAACAGAATGTATCTAAAACAACTGATGCGTTATTCCCCAACCTGTTGAACGAAAAGTTCAAGACGAAACCTCCATCGACAATAGACCGATGCAGCAGCGTTCCTTTCCCACTCCGATTATCTCGACCGCCGCCCTGTTATGCTCGTAACAGGTTGAAAAACAACATATCTAAAATGACTGCTTCTCCAACCCGTTGCGAGCCTCCATCGACAATCGACCGATGCAGCAGCGTTTCTTTCCCACTCCTGTTATCTCGACCGCCAGGCGTTATGCCCGCAACTGTTTCAAAAACCTGCTTCTTTTTATATCCACAATATTTTAAGCTGTTGCAAAACTCAATACGAGCATCGACGGTTTCTGACCGAAGCAGTTACGTTCGCCGTAGCGCTTTCCCCACTCCGTTGTCCGTTATCTCGCCGTCTGTATCGATGGTTGACGAAATAACATGTTTTCCATCCATACTAGTTGTTTTTTGGAACTGCTTCGAGCAGCATAGAATTTCGTTGCGGTGCAGAGCGCCGACTTCGTTTTTCGTTACACGAGCGGCCGATCTCTACGTGTCGTTATTTTATATCTGTTATTTTTTAGAAGTAGTAACGGTTGCGTTATGTTATTTATAAATAATTGTTATAAAATAACAGATAGTTAAATAACAACCCATCACTAATGATATGGTGTATCTAAGATTATTCGACCTGCCTTTCTTTGTAGTCCAAAGACTCTATTGGCTCCACTGCTATGACCCCAAACAATCAGGGCGTACTTCATATGTGCATGGAATAGAGCAAAGTATGCTTGTCTCAAAATATAACCAGAAACACAGTGTCTCAAATTCCTTAGAACAAAGATGTTAGTGGATAATTTATTGCACAACTCATCAACTTGTGCTCTCCAGAGCAAACCCCTGTCCAAGTATACACCTAGAAATTTTATTGTTTCATTTGCAATACTTCTGTTCACAGGCCTTAAAGTAAAAACCATAGTATGTGTTTTATTTTTGTTAGAATTAGGATTTAGAATAAGTGGGAGGAGGGTTAATCTCTGCGACCTTAGAGATCTATTGTGTCCCCCTTTCTTGAGTTATAACTCATCATACAGTCCCAGGACTTCCTACGGAGACCCGTGTCCCTCACAGTCGAGGAGCTACGACCCATGCCGGGTAGACGAAACGGTAGCTTGTGTCGCCTGTTGGGTTTAGAGGTAGGAGGTAGGCTCCCGACCCTTGGAGGAGGTGGTAGCTTATATGCCACTTGTGGAGGATGGTCTCACACGCAAGTGTCGGCCACCTCCTGTAGTTCTCTTTTTGGGTTTGGCCCCTTGAACTTTCATTGTTACTGTTCCCAGTGTTGGTAGGGGGTTTCCCCACAGCTTCACCGGTGATGTTTTTATTACTATTATTACCAGATCTCATAGTGTTCCTATGAGTCGCTAAGGACAGTCAATCCACTTCTACAGAGCCCCGCATGTAGAAGTAAGGGGTATAATACAATGGGGTGCCCCGGTGCCCCAAGGTTTGAAACTGTCCGTCAGCCCTGCCGGTATCGTTATATGTCTTGGTGCAATTCCTGGCCACGACATTACAGTCAGGGACAAGACGATGAGTGAGATCTTCTTAGATCAAGCTAAAGCTGCTAGAGGATTCCCCAGCACCTGACCAGGAGCTTCCCCACCAACGACAAGGTCTTGCATCTCCTATGGGAAGTTTATTTTTGTTAAGCAATAGCCTATTTGCCGAAAACCAACCCTCCGCTTTTTCACAGGCTCTGCTGGATGCATTCTGCACCATCTCCAAATCCATATACACCGAGCTAATGGTGGTATCATCTGCAAACAGCGTGTAATGGGGTTTTAAATCGACCTCTGGTAAATCATTAATATATATTAAAAATAAAGAGGTCCCAAACAAAGCCCTGAGGGACACCAACCGTTAGACGCTGCCTCTTAGATACTGCATTTCCCACCTTCACATTGAAACCTGTTAGAGGTAGCTCTGTGACGAGAAGTACGGCTGCCATTATGGAAGTTGTAGTTTACAGTTTACCTGTAGTTTCTGAACCAGTAGGTCATGCGACACACAGTCAAAACCTTTACTCAGATCACAGAATGTTGATGCGACATAGTTGTGATGTTCAAAAGCATCAGAATTTGAGACACAAGTTCCAATATAGCCGATCTTATGAGGAACCTCCGGAAATCGAATAGAACATAAACAAATAAGAATAGAAAAAATAACTTTCTGTAGTATGCACTGATTCGCTTCTTGGCATAATATTTCACTTGTCTGTTTTGTCATCACCTGATGGAATCATTCAATGGAATGGGTATCCTCTAATGGTCTAAGACACGCGAAAAAGTTCCTCAGAACTTACGACCGAGAAAAATCAAAGGTTTTCCTTGATTTAAGTAAAAACAATCTTCGGATTGTCACGGGGTTTCTAACAGGACACTGTCTCCTCAACGAACGCCTCAGTAATCCGAAGCTGAAAAACAACGGCGAAAACATATGCAGATTATGTGGAAAAATGGGGAAACGCCAGAACACCTTATCACTGAGTGCGCCGAGACGAAGACCGTTCGTGCCATGAGCTTTGGTACGGCTGATGTCGAGGATGAAGAGCTGGTCTCTGTGGAGCCGTCTCAGATACTGGCTTTTGTTAAAGCACTGAGACTGTATGATGAGTTAGAACTCAAGAAAGGGGAACACACAGTAGATCTGTAAGGTCGCGGTGATTAACTCCCCTCCTAAATATTCTACATTCTACATCATCTGATATATGTTATTTAGTTTTATTTTAGGTTTTTATCATCTAGTTATTCACTTTTTTTAATTGAGGGGTAAGGTGTTCTTCTTTATTTATTTTACTCTCGTGCAGATTTTGATTTTCTTCTATTTAGTTCGCATTTAACATTTTTTACTGTTTATAGGAGCTGTTTTGTTTCTAATTAATATTTAATAATTACACTTTAAGAATGATTGAAACTGAGCACTTCATTAAAAAATATAATTAGAGAAAACTTGATTTTGGTTTAGTGGACACCTGTTTGACATTTACTTCGATATTATGAGTGTTTAAGGGTTGAACTGCTACATCTCTTTTGTGCCAAACCCTGTATATTATTTTCCTTTGAGATGTAGAATTAAAACTTTTTTTTTTACACTTGCACTCATTGATGAATCGCCACTGAATCACACATTTTCCCTATAATTTTGATTTTCATAACTTATTCAAAGCAAAATGCAATAACAACAACAGAGAGAATGCAGAATATCATTGCCCATTTAATGTAGCTAAAATAAACTTCGACCAAACAGTTCCACAGCTACTCGCCAGCAGAAAGTAAAGAATTCGATACGTACGAACTTCGAACCGAAACCCCGAATCTCGACCGCGTTGCTGTTGATTCTTCCGCTCTATTGGCACCGGAACGGATCGTTTTGCAATTTAAAACGCATTTTCCATAGAACACCGGCAGTCGGTGTGGAATAACTAAAGCACATGTTGTTAGTCTAATTGAAGCGCCGGTGCGGTTACAATTTATGGGATTTGTAGGTAAGTTGTTGTATGTACAGGCGGTACGCTGGCGGAATATATTTCGGGGCCGGGATCTGTTCCGAATAAAAGCGCATCCGGCAATAGATTAAACGGCAGCAAATTAGGTGCTTATATACGTATAAACCTCAATTATAAAGAATACATATACAGGGTGTCCCCGGCTGAGCGTGCATTAGAAGTTTCTAGAGAACTACAAAATCAAAATATAGATCGGAGATTTTTTGTACATCACTGTTTCACTACGAGATATATCGATTAAAAATATTTTCAATATGGCAGCACCTCCGGAAAAACCGGAAGTTGACAGCAACTATCTTATTTTAAATGGGTTCCCCCATTTATTATTACATACTTATATTCTCTGTAAAATTTTATAAATTTTTATATCAAACACTTTATACCTACTAGTTTTTGAGAAAAAAATATTTAAAATTTGTGGAGGACAAAAACTGCCTGTCAAAAAAATCTGTATAGCCTAAACGACAAATTTAGTGATTACCACAATCACTGTGGCATAAAGAGAAGACATGTGGCTATTTATTTCAAAAGTTAAATTGTTCGAGTGTCATATAATATTGGCCGTAGCTGTTATGGAATTGAGTGATTAAAAAATTATCATAAATCATTTTTTTTTCAAATGGAAACCCACTTTTTTTATTTCACTAGTGAAAAGGTTTTAAATATTTAAGATTTAGTATTAATAATATTACGTAGTTTTTTTCTTAATTCTAACTGTGATACAGTTAGAATTTTTGGAATATTCTTATTTAATAGACTAGGCCCTTCAGATTTACTAGTCCTGTTACAGCAAACAGAAAGGTCGGTTCAATACCAAGTACGCGTTATTTGATGGAAGGAACTCTTTTGTTTACCAGTAACTAAACTGAGAATTAAGTGTACGCTTTTGAAGCTTAAACTTTTCAGTTTAAGAAAAAAGAGATTATTTACACAAATCTGAGATAGGTATTACCACAGAATATCTAGCTACGCAACAGAAGCCTCGTTACATGTATAAAATCGTAGGATTCAAAAGGAGACAGGCATTTAAAGCCTGTCTCCAAATCAGATATTTTGATGCGGTAGTTTCACTACTGCATAACAGGGCGATAAATTTAAAAGAAAACAGTTTTCTACAAACGAAATTTAAAAGAATTTTATGCAGTGTTGCCATTGTGTAATTTATATTGTAACACTTTCTCTGATAAAGCCTACCTTCAAATTTGCTACATCATTTAAACATATTAAAATAGATTAGAGCTCATTTTTCAAACGTTTAAGTATTTAACTTGCCATGTTAGTTGGAGTTAAATCTTACGAGCTAAATTAAAATCATTTCCTGACGTTTGATTCTAACTGAATCCTGAATTTTGATTGTAATTCGGCGACAATATAATAAATATAGTTCTACTATTATGACACCACTTCCTGACGTTCAATTGTGTTCATACCGTATGATCGGGAAAATACGGCGTTAGCGATGGCTATGAAATGAAAATCGCTGTCATTTTATGTATAAATTTATATGGGAAATGTCATCGATGGTCTTTTCCCAGCCAACTGGACGCCGTTTTTTTTCGGTATCATACGGTATTTGATATATACTTGCGTATTTTTCATGACATTGCAATATTATGGTACCATGAAGCATATCAAGTGATACCGTAATATAGTACCATATTACGATACATGGCGTTCGATTGGGCTTAAACTTGGTATATTACGTATCTTCAGTGACATTGTAATATTATGTATATATCAAGAGGTACCATAATAGTACCATATACGATACCATTTCCTGGCGTACGATTGGACTTATACTTGGTATAGTCAGTATCTTCCGTGACATTGTAATATGATGGTACTATGATGCATATAAAGTGGTACCTTAATAAATAAATAATAAATAAAAGCCTTTATTGTCAAAATTTTTTTCAATTTGTAGACAAAGGTAAACTAACAAACAAAGTAAAAAAAAACAAGGTACACAAACAAACAAACAAAAGATAATTCAAAACATTATGCAAATAATAATAATATAGTACCATATTACATGAAGCATATCAAGGGGTACCATAATGTAGTACCATATTACGATACCATTTCCTGGCATTGGGCCCAAATTTGATATACTTGCGTTTCTTTATAAAGATTTGTTTAATTAATAATTTTAATTTAGTTAACGAATTTTAATTTATTGTACGATGCCGTGACAGCAACTTTTATGCCGAACTAATATATTATTAATTGTACCTGTGTCATTTTTTAAAATCTACCTAGGTCTATATAAACGTGGCAAACAGGAGAAACTTGTTATTATAGTATTTTTTTAGTCAATTAACATTTTTAATACTGCATTTTAATAAATTATTTCCAATCGCCCTGTATAATATTAATTTTAAAGGTAATTAAAGTTATTTTCTTAGTTAACATAATAAAGTAGTGTACATATATATTAAAGATGTATTTTGTGAGCATATGTTTTCTAATAATATACTTAAAAGCTTAAAACTATTTTAAAAGCCAAACGAATAATTAATATTAGTGTATCTGACAAGAAACGAAGAATAGAACGAAATTATTATACACCAGAAAAAGAATGGAATGCCAATTAAAGTCTGTTTGAATCTGGCAACTGTGCATATTTAGCCGAGCTTTAAGGCCGTCGACGTGCCGTCAATCTACGTCGATCCAAAATCGAAAGTTGAAAATTTCTAATTATATTCTGATTATGATATTGTCGCGCCATCTAGTATTTTATTTGTGCCGTTTTAGCTCTTTCATTGCGAGTATTTTTCTGTTGCGTAGCTAGATATTCTGTGGTATTACTTTATTTAGAAAATATATTCTCTTGTTTATTTATACCCTCCAAAACTATATTAAATAAATTGGCAAAACTATTTCCAAGAACCTTTGAAGTACTTCTCCAAGAATCCTTCTCCAAGAGACTTTTGCATATTTTTTCCAAGATCTTTTTTAATGGATTTTAAACAGATCATGCAGTAGTCATAAACATTTGATTTTGACTTAGCAGTAATTTAGGGTTATCGCTAAAATATTTTATAGATTTGTTGGTATAATTCAATTTGCTTAAATATTAAATTAATCCATTTGCATATTTTTGGACTACTGATCCACACACTTAATTGTTATTAATTAATGATGGATTGTAAGAAATATTCTAAGTAATAAGTAACAGTAAATTGATCATACTTTAAGTATAACATAGTATTTAACGGTGCTTGCCTGTGGGTAGATTATATCTTAAATAGGTAGCAATTATTTAATAAAAATTTGTTGACATTCTTT